CACACTCGATGCACAGAGGGCGCTCCGATCCGGTGGCCGTCGCGTCGGGCCGGCGCGCCGCGCCTGCGAGGACCGGGCCCGGCCCGCGCGGCACGCGGGCACACTTCGATGCTCAGTGAGCATTCGCTCCGGTGGCCGTCGCGTCGGGCCGCCCGGACCCAGCGCGGCGACGCGGCATACAGTCTACCGACGGGAGGGCTTCCGACGGTCCGCGGGGTCCTCAATGTACATCTACACAGACCTGTTGTGTTACTTACTAGTGCATTTATGATGGTCAGTAACTTCCAGGAAATGTATTCAATATAAGAAAAATAAGGTAAGTAACAGGATGTTAATTGATATATACGTTTTGATATCAGGCCAAAAAAATAAAAAATAGTTCTGCTTTCGAGTACATGGCATTCGAAAATGTTCAATTGCAGAGAGAGATTAATATGAATATTTACCTTGGAAAAACTCACTGTAGGCCTATACCGTAATAATAGAATACCCATAAAACTGTTGTTGAGGATATTTTAATGTGTTTTTAAGGGGTTTTAAATATTCACAGACAAAAGCAAACTTTTTACGTTTCTCCCGACAGTTGTGACGTTCAACCCTGAAAACTGTATGCCTCAAAAACAGGTACGATAAAATCACAATTTACATCATTACATTTTCTGAGTAATTTTGTTCTTCCATCTTCCAAGTGGAGATGCTAAATACGAGGTAAGGATTTGTTTTAAGAAAACTGTTTAAGACTGCTAACTGAGTGCTTGATTGATCTAAAACACAAGTGTACATATCTCTATGGCCCGGCACAAAGGATGTCACCGTGCACGGTACGGCCACGTTGACCGACCGGGATGGGATAAGACAGTGGGCGCACAGGCCCGGCAAAAACGATGTCACCGTGCACGGTACGGCTACGCTGACCGGGGATAAGTGCGCACACAGGCCCGGCAAAAACGAACGATGTGCACGGACAATCACACTGCGCTATATCGACTCTGTTATATGCAACAAAAGGCAGATATCTATTAATGCCCAATGTCCCTCTTAGTTCAAGGTATTTGAACCCCAGTTTTATGTACTTAGTTTGAATGGGATAGCACCATCATTTTCCTAAACTAAAGCAGCTAAACCTATCATCTCGCCCAGCGGCAACCCCAGCCGTGAATCAACCCGGCCCGAACAAAAAAAAACAACTCATGTATCATAACTCCCAAACGGTGATCAGCCACCGTCAAAATCCCCGGTACAACGGTCTCAACGGTCGACTTGTCTCAACGGTCGACTTGTCCCGAGTCGAGTTGTCTCAACAGTCGACTTGGCTGACCCCCAGCATGAGTATGACCCTAAGTGCTAGCTCAGCGGGCCGGGAGACTTGATACTCGGGTGAACTGCAGGTTATTCCACACCATTTACATTCAGTGCAAAAGTCTTACGTGTTTTGTGCACTGTAAAATAAGATATTCGATTTTGTACATGTACTACTCACCTTCAGAAGTCCGTTATTCTGGTTGAAACAAAAACTTGCACCTGGTTCTATCGTCAAACAGCTTCGTCTTCGTACCGATGAATGTGCCCAGCTGACGGCGGAACGGAGTTACTTATGTCCGCCGGAAATCGTATCGCAGACTTCAAGTGTCAATCATTTCACCAGGAGGCGGGGCCTCGCCCCCCTGGTGAAGTGATTAAGGGGCCTCGCTGCCAGCCATGACGTAATGGTCTAAGATTGAGCAAGTTAAGGGACAATCCGGAGTTTATAATTAAAGACCGAGCGGTTGATTCTGAATAACGGAACAATGTCCACATTCCGTCTGCATAGAAGCTTATCAGGCATCCGGCTTTATTGTATTGTGTCGAGTCGAGTCCGCTATCTAAAGTTAATAATGACACAAACACCTGTCAAGGCTAGTGGTTTAAGTTCCGTGATTTACCCGGTGGTATGGGACGGCACGTGCACCACGTGCACGATTCGCCCTGCGCTGCAGTGATTTGTGCTTCTGCTTTGAAGTTCTGCGCATGAGTTGTTAAATTTAAACTTTTAGGGGGGGGGATAGGGGATATGATCAAGATCCAAAATTGCCAGGCCTTGGAAATTCGAAAGGGGGGGGGGGGCTTGACACTGAGAGGTCAACCCTTCGGTGGACCCTAAAGTGGGAATTATCGGGCTTCACATACAAATTAATCGGTTTTAATATCCGCATTCCGTCTGTATGGAAGCTCATCAGGGATCCGGCTTTATCGTATTGTGTCGAGTCGAGTCCGTTATCTTAAGTGTTTCGCATGCAAACGGATACGTTTAGTGCGACGGGTACGTCATCAGTTAGGACGTCATACACCACTCACTATCCGCTAAACGTGCAGACGACACGCATATCTCGCTCGCTACACGTAAGTAAAAAGCGGATACGGATAGCTAAACGTAAGTGTAAGCGTATCCGTTCGCTTTCGAAACCTCCCTAATATAGTGAAACAAACACCTGTCAATCTTTTAAGTTCCGTGATTTACCCGGGGGTATGGGCGGCACGTGCACGATTCGCCCTGCAGTGATTTGTGCTTCTGCTTCGAAGTTCTGCGCATGAGTTGTGAAATTTAAACTCATGAGACCAGCGGTGGCGATTTCTTGGCTACATGGGGGGGGGGGGGGAGACTACTCAGAGGAGGGCGCTATACAAAATGAGAATTATCCGGCTTCACATACAAATTAATCGGTTTTATAATGCATGAAATACAATACTTTGCCTCGATTAAAATCATGGGCGTCAATCCCCCACACTTTTTAAAGTGGGGGATATCATATCCGTGTCTCCCCACACACTTTATTCGTCGCCGAATTTAAAATCGTAGCATAATATTCTATAGCTCAGAAAGTAGCTGATTATACTCAAAACTCGAAAATGATGTTTCAATGAAAATCTTTTGCGTCTAGAATCAATTTTTTTCCTGGCCCTTAAGCGGGCCCCGACTGAACCCCAGCCGTTAGGGCTTTTACGCTTGGCGCTCGCACTGGTTCTGAGCAAGGTAGGCCTCTCCCTCCCCCACTTTTCAGAAGCGATTGACGCCCTTGACTAAAATACTTTTATATGCCATTTAAAAAAATATTTACCTTGCAAATGTTACACTTAAGGTTTCATATGGCACCGTTATGTGTCAGGGATAGGGATTTGGCCTTAATTGTATTGCCTTAATTAAGATTCAAAATTACATAATAAACAATCTAGTCACATAAAGATGTGTTGTGAAAGTATTGGAAAATTTCAAATGGAAAATTGAAATGGAAATCAAATGGAAAAGCAAAGCCAAAGGTCAAACATTGAAAAGGTAGGTGAGCTAGTAAATTAATTCCTTTATTTATAAGAATCGTCTACAGTTGTATATTGAGAAATTATTAATCAAAAAAGATGTAGTTAAATGTTAACAAGTGCAGATATAACAAGAAAGCTATTGCAAAGGTGTGAAAAGCCCCGACAACACGAGATTTATTTACCAATTAATTATGGCATGAATTTAAATCAAAGTTACACGTGAAGTATTTACAGGAATCTTCCCCCAAAAGGCAAGTTATAAACATGATCACAGGTTTGTCCTCTAAACTTAAAGATATTATTTATGAAATGGCAAGTATATAACCTCGTGTCTTCACGATCTGAATACTTAAAGGGAATGTACATCGTTTGCTTTTGCTGTAATTTTCAGAAAGGAACTATTTGAGGGGTTAGTATAGTAGATCAAACATTGTTACACTGGCATGTTTGAAGTTTTGTGTTCAAGAATGCTGGAAAAACCAAGAAAAACAAAAGTGTTCAAGTAGTCTGGTTCCCTGACTCCACTAAAGACGAAATGTACCAATTTATAGATGCCGGAAAATTGTAAGTTAAGGACACCAGTCTAGCTGGCCTGCACCCGTTCATGAACATGTAACCAATAGCAAACAAAATTTAGACTGAAAACAAATGGTAAATTTGGATCAGTACATTGTAGTTGCAAAATAGTTAGGTTTTTCCAACGGTGGTCGGCCGACCATCTGTGGAAATGTATACAAAAATACCACTTTTTTGAAAATGACTTCACACCAGGTGCCATAATTTTACAGGATGCATTAGACTGTCATTTATCAACATCCTAGTAAGGTATTTCGTAAAAAATGTGGTAGTTTGTTTTTCGATGTTTGCAAATGTTGTATATTCCCTTTAATTATTATTATTATTATTTATTATTATTTATTCGGCCAAATTACAAGGTACAACAAGCAATCCACAAAAGTAAACAAAACTAAACAAAAACAATCCAATTCAAGCTGGCAAGGATTGACAAAAGTATAATAAAACACTGTGACTGGAGAGTCTGTCAATCCTAACTTGAATGGTACATGTGACATACAAAATATATATTAAAAAAAATAGGTATCAAATTCAATGAAAAATAAGACCGCCTTAAAAATAATACTTAGATTCAAAAGATTAACAGTTACAACCCTGACCACAGTGTTCTCAAAGGTAAGAATAGCTGGCGTAAAAACCTAATAACTGCAGATTAAACAAGACTGGGGAAAAACAGACAAACAAACCCCCAAAAAACCCTAAAAAACAAACAAACAAACACCCCAACACCCCAACAAAACCCTAACAAACCAAGAAACAAAACAAGACAGGATAAGACTAAACAAAATGAAACTAGACAAGACAAGACAAGACAAGACAAGACAAGACAAGACAAGACAAGACAAGACAAGACAAGACAAGACAAGACAAGACGAAACAAAACAAAAACAACAAAAAACAAACAAGACAAGACAAGACAAGACAACAACAACAACACAACATAAAAACACGGAACAAAAGATTGATACAGTAAACAAAATAATTTAAAATGAAATAACAATAAATAATAAGCAATACAAACCTGATAGAGAAAAGTAAAAAAAAACCTTAATCGCAGTCTTACCATATAGTCTTCTAAAAATATAAAAAAGTATATTCTGTAACTGTAACTGTTTTTCAGAGACCTAATGTTATCACTTTGTCTGTTGAATTTCAGAACAATACATGTACAAGAGACAATAGCCTACATTAGTACAGAAAAATAAATAGTTAAAATAACCTTTAGAAAGAGCTGCAAATTTCTCTACAAAAATAGCCGCATTTAATACATGTGTTCCTTTTTGCATGCATTTGTCAATATATCGGTTAGAATAAATTACTTTTTTTCCCCATCATTCTGATACTGCCTTGGACCAAGTCTGAGTATGTGATCAGATAATAAAAAGGTTATACACAACAAGATGATCTTAGACACATATTCCTTCAACGGTTGTACTTTCAGTCATCCTAGAAGCTAGACTCTTAAACGATAAAGGCACAGACGGCAACGAAGATCATCACAGCAGCCAGACCTACCCGCAGCAAGGTGGTGTCAGCCGTGACCACGCCCCCTTGCTTTGGCTGCTTCATTGGTACCCGCGTCTTGGTGGCGTGGACGACGCTATCCCATGATTCCTCGATGACCTTTTTGGCGCCCTTCCAGGAGTGGGGACCGCGCAGGCGGTAGCTGGCTGGGTAGCATGGTCCAAAGAATACCTAAATAAAATAGGCAGGGGATGGTTGAATATATGAAAAGTCATACATTTATCAGATGAGTGATAAGGCCCTTGTCTCACGTATACAGCTGGGAAGTAACAAAAAAGAGCAAACTCCCAGCTTTACTAGACTTTTTACGGTTTTTTTTTTTACTTTTACTGGTGTAAGTGTGAAGTGAAACACGAAGAAATCAGCTGATCCAAGGAAAAAAGTATCAAGCGAAAACCCAACCGAAACTGAGCGGTCTTTGTGCCAGTGCTCTGCCATTGTGCGCGCTCTGGCAACTTGAGCCATGAACTCATCATGACCGCCTTGCAACCGATGCAGCCCAGACATCCACTAGCTGCCTCCCAGCGCGCGCTCAAGTTACTTCGCCCATCTCGACACTCAATGTGTGACCGCGATGTGACTTTCACAAAGGGGCCTGCGCTCGATTGAGAGCGCAAGCCGTGTTCCTGAAATTACATCGTTTTAAAGAAATTGTCTGACCATAGATAAGGTACAAAAGATCCATTTAATGTAGGATACCTGAATTCTAGTCCTTGTTTAATTCAGTCGGCAAAATAGCAACAAAAATGTTAGGCAAAAGCAGTTTCATGCACTACAATGTCATGGAAACGGTGACGTACCTGGAATGCAAGCCTGGGATTGGTCAGTAGAAGCTCAGTGAATCGTGGCTTTACTCCAATCATCTCTGCAACTTCTTCCTGATAGGGAACAGGTGGGAACTGAATGGGGGAAAAAAAAATATAATTATTTAAATAACTGCCCCCTAATTCACCAAATTTAGTTAGTTCGCATTTTGTTTGCAATCGGTTACACATCTGTGAACGGGTGCAAGCCAGATAGTCTGGTTCCATGACCTGACATTTCCCCGACATCTGTAACCCTCTCCGTTTTGTATAATAATAATAATAATAATAATAACAATAATAACGGCAATTTCTAACGCGCCGGTATCCGCAATAAATGACGCTCATGGCCCAATACAAAAAATAGATCAAATCAGAAATATGAAGAAGGGTCATGGAACCAGACTACTGCGAACAACACTTTTTCCTTGGTTTTTCCAGCATCTATGAACACAAAATTTTACAGGGTCAGTGTATCAACATTTGCTATAAAATATTAACCCCAAATCCATCAACCTCTGAAAATTACAGCAAAAGCAAATGTTGTATACTACCTTTAACAATTGTGCATGGTTTTTTTCTTCAATTAACTGCTGTACGTCCACTTGTAAGTTCGTTAACTTTTAAAAGCCTAGACGACAGGGTCTAATCTGAAAGCACTAAATGTTGTCATTTTACTTTCTCATTATATTTTCTCATGTAATGCTGTACTTACAAAGATTCTGTGTTTTCCAAAGGTTTGATAGAAGATATTGCGCCTGCGCTTGATGTCGGCCATCATGGTGTCCACATCGGGCATTGGCACTAGCCCCTTGAAGACCCGGGCAGCCCATCGGGTCTGCAGCTCAAACACGGGGGGCTGCCCCCCTAGCGTCGCCACGCAGCCAATGACGGCCAAGGTATGATGCTTGAGTTTGGGAGGGAAAACGTGCATGTACAGGTCCAAGTCTGCGAAGCTGTCTGGAAAAGGATAGAAAAAAAGGTAAACTTTGTGTAAAAGGTTTTATAAATGTGAAGCAATCAAGACCGTAAAAAATAATGTATATCCAAATAAGTGAACAATGTGCTCTGTTGATCAATCATGAAGTTCAAAAGCTAATCTCTTGCAAACTTTTAATTAGATTCATTTTTGTCAGGGTTTGAAGCATGATAACTGAGATGTTATCAAGTTATCACAAGCAGTGGCAGAACAGTAGGGGTGCAGTTGGAAGGCTAGAGATTTTAAAGCAAAATCGGAGGATAATAGAAGCAAAATCGGGACGAACATTCTATTTTGCAACGGGCAAATGTTCACAAATTTCCAAGTCACAACTCTCACAGTCTAGTCCCAGTCACGTGACAAGCTTTTCAAGTAAATTATTCCTTTTTTCATAGTACATCATCTGTTACACGTGGCCACGCTTTTGCAAATCTGGCACAGAGAGATTCAGAAGAATGCAATTTTCAGGACTAAATTCACGACCATGTACCTTGAATTATAGAGCGGTCAATGAAGTCGAACCCGAGCTCGTACCCAGTAGCAAACACGACGGCATCTAGGTTATCAATCTTATAACCATCGACGAACTCGACCCCAGTGCGGGTGAACCGTTTGACCCCTGGTCGGCACTGGACGGCACCGCACATTATGCGGTCGCCTATTTCGTCGTTTACCATGACCTGCGGAAAATACATTTAGTCTTCACTGTTAAAAACAATTTGGGTCATTTTTTTTATCAGAAAATTAAGATTGCCATATGAACAAAATTTCCTGTTTGTACAGGGTGAGTGAAAAATCTAAGATATTAAAGCCCAATTAATGAGCTTTCTTTTAGTACAAGAATCATCCAAACCACTCATGTACTTTTCAAGCTACGGAATATTGAACACAACCACCATTTTAAAGTTCTGTTCAGGGATCACCAAAAAGGTAAGTGTTCTTTCAGCAAAACGAAAGCAATTTACATACATCCCAATGTGAAAGCAATTGGGCTTTCACATCTTTAATTTTGAAAGTGGTACATGCAGAATTTCATTAAATAATTGGTCCTCCCATTTTGGAGTGGTGTTTTTTTTTACCTTGTATATAATTACTAAGAATAACAATAAACAGACATTACTTTTTGTTTACCGAGTATAAATGTATTTTACCTCGCTGTGTAGTAGGCCGGTCTCGGCGCGTAATCCTAGTTTGTCGTGACTGAAGTTGACGCTTGCATTGGCACTTGCTACTCGCTCTGCAAAATAAGAAAAAAAACTCCCGAAACTCAGATTGACATTATCCACTCAGCTTTCTTTGTTAATTTTCTTGAATGAAGCAAAATTAAAAGTAACTGAATGGAAAAAAAATATGAATTGTAAAGTGTTTTAACAAAAATAGTGCGCTGAATTTTTAAAATTCACATTTTAAAATTCACTCACAGAAATGAACATCTTACATTGTTCTAGAAGTAAAATAAAAATAATTTTCTTCGCTTTTGCATTTAAATTATTTTCACAATCGCAATGACATTTATTAACGTTCGGGTATTTCATGGAAAATTTTCAGGCATACAAATAATAAAAAATCAGTTTTGTAAATATTTTCACATTTTAGTAAAATACTGCGTTGGATTTTCTTCGGACGTACCCACAATAGCCTTGGGAGCAAGTTGTACGATTCTACGGTTGACCATCATGTCTACTGGAGTACTGTCTTTGGCCATGCGTCTGACGACCCAGCAGCCGTGCCTCATGGTCAGGTGAACCACGCGGGCACGACGGCTCAAATCCGCGGCCGCGTCACCGGCAGAGTTGGAGGCTCCTGCAGGAAAAGACAATGGAGAGAAAATATATGAGCTTAGATTTGGGCACCTTCAAAGAACTGACACCAGGGGTGCGAGTGACCACTGATAAAAATAGCTAGAAAAAGGTGTAAAAAAGCCGCATTTTGGAGATCTCCTATACTTTTGTACACAGCAAGTGAGGGAAAAATCTGAAAAAAAAAGCTGAAATCCAAAACCAAAAAAGCTGAAATCATCTTTAAAGCCGAGATTTCACACCCCTGTGATACACTGCCAAAAAAAAAAAAAATTAAACAAAAGAAGGACCGATGTATCACTTGCCCTTATAGGTGCACCCCTTGAAAAAACTATATTGTAAGACTGTCTGGAGCCCTGACACTCACCCATCACCAGCACTGTTTTTCCACCGAAAGAGTCAGCATTCCTGAACTCGTTTGTGTGCATTTTCTGCCCCTGGAACTCATCCAGCCCTGGGTATTGAGGGATGTGCGGCTGTTTGTACAAGCCCGAGCAGACGAACACCGCGTCGTAAACTCCCGCCTTTTCCTCGCAGCCCTCTGTGCGCGTGCGCACGCTCCACTGCCCCGTGGTCTCGAAGTCAGCTGTCGGTTCAACCCGCAGGACCGAGGTCTTGTACTGAATGTGTTTCTCGAGATCGAAGTGGGCGGCGTAGTCTTGGACGTACTTGAGGACGTGTGGGTAGCGGGGGAAAGGGGGAATATCGTCGGGCATGGGGTAGTCACTGAACGCCATCATGACCTTACTGGAGTTGGTGGTCAGGGAATCGTAGATTGCTGACCCCTGACCAGGTCGGAGATTCTCATCGTACACCCACACACCACCTATCATGAGAAAAAAAAGAGGGTGGGGTTGAAGGATGCTCATCACAGAAGGATGAGCTGGGGTGTAACCAGACTGGGACCTTAAGTGCTCAAACCGATGAAAAAGAAGATCAGGCTTTACTTTACTCACTCTTCAGCCAGCAAATTTTTCCAAAACTGTCACTGGGCAAAGAAAAGTTCTTCAGTACTTCACCAACCAAGTTTGAAGATTCGATTCAATTTTTAAAGCAGACTTTTCTTCAATATTTGACAGTGGCTTGCACAAGAGAGGAAAGTCAAGTAATTTCAAAATGAGGCTAAAGACTAGACTTCTACATGTCCATCCATGGTCCAACTGTTTGAGAAGACTGATTTCTTCATTCATTGTCATTAGTCTGGTGCCTGATTATGGAGAAATGTGTAGAAATAGTGACCTGGTACCCGACATCCTAGACATGTCTTTTGGCACAGTCAGCTGACAGTAATTATGCAGTGTACTGAAGCGGTGTTGGACTGGTTGTTTCAGGTGCTAGTCTATTTTCTTGTATTGCTTGTTTTCAATACCAATAAGTTTGGGACTCTCAGTCATACACAGTATGGAGAGTCCCAAATTTTCGGACTATGGTGTAACCTACCCCAATTATAAAGGTGAATGTCCAATTAGGAAAATGTTCACTGGTTTCATGCCTCATAAAATTGAAGCCAAACTGAAAGAAAGGAGCATGGTAAAGTAAAAGTTTCGATTATACTTACCGAGTTGGCCATATCTCTCGAAACAGTGAGGTTCGATTCCTTCCTCCAGGCAAGCCTTGATGGCCACAAGGCCGCCGATCCCTCCACCAATGATCGCTGCTTTCATCGTGATTCTGAAAAACAAATAATCGATTTGTAGAATAATCAATTTAATCGATTAAAGTTGGTGTGGCACCCTGAAAAACAGGTTTTTCAAATTGAACTGATAATTTTCTAGCATCACATTAGTTATGAGCTTTCCAATGAGACATCGAAAGAAAAAAATCGGCCCATGATAAGTACCAAATTAATTAATTTCAACTTTTGAAGCCAGCGGGACCTCGTGTGCGCATGTGCTTTTGCGAAAGTGCAGTCTAAAAATAATATTAATAAATACCTTGGAGAGTTGATGGTTTCTGATTGGTCGAGACTCGATCACGGGGCCGGGCATTTACGGTGATAATGGACCGGCTTCAAAGATCAAGCGGGTGGCCCCTGAACCAGCATTGATCAAGCCCCGTTCAGCCCCATGCAAGCCAATGATTGGTCAAAATATAGTAACAGTCCTGCGGTAGCTTGTAACAATTATAGAGCACTGCACATGCGCTCAACCCCCATCGCGTGAGACTGACGTGCGCGTACGCAACACAGTTGCTAGGGATGCGTGCGTGCGCGCGCGTAAGGAAGTTTTGAAACGACATCGTACAGCAGTGCAGTATATACTGAGGATGTTTACGACGAAAGCGTAGATCTACGATTTATTTTCTTTGAACACTTCAGCCACCGACAAAATCAAGCATCTTTGTAATTCCGGACACAAGGAATGTAAAGATCTGAAAACATTGTTGTAGTTTGTTTCGCTACGGCAGCAGTTTCTGTTGAGTTTACGTCGTTATAGCTGTTAAGCTAAAAAATATGGCCCATGAACATGAACACAAAAAAGTCTGGAAATATCGCCGAAAAAAGTCACAAAATTGGAGCATTTTAACTGTTTATTTCGTAAAAAAAGGTATTTATTAATGGGAATAACAGTGTGAGGATCCGGTCTTCGTTTTAGATCAGCCTGGGCCAAAACCGTGGTTTTTATACAGAAATATACGGCTGGGTTACATAATCAAATTCCAAAGGATACAGTGAATTGGGATTACAAAACACATCGTTCCGCAAATACGTAATTAACAGGTGAAGGCGCAGTAGAATAATCAGGTGTATCACACCTGGCGTCGCACGCGCACCAGCCGCGATCATCGCGTAGCTAGGATCGCGTCGGACCAGCTGGCGAATGCAAAATTATCATACATTCTGTACGAGCTAATACGTCACTAACTTATGAGTATTTTGCTCAAAACTTTCTGAACCGGAGCGCGCTACTTAAAAACCACTGTATCAGGCCTGCACATGAAAACAAGCAAATTTATAATTCTTTAAATTTCGTTCGGAAAAAGAGAATCGAAATTTTGAAATACACACACAATTAGCAACTTGAAATGAAATTTTAAAATGAATAAAACTGCTGCAAACTGCTTACTGGCTGGATATTGGCCACTGTGAGAAATTGCTTAAAGACGGCTTAGATTATACACAAGTTGCACGGCAGCATCAGTATCCCCTTGGGTGCTAGTGTAACACAAGTTATTTGTTCATAGGAGGTTGTTGTGTACCAGTCCTAGAGTCTTGGTTACATGGAGGTATAGAATGATATGTCTCCTAGTAGCGCGTACACTGTAGCCGGAGCGGACAAAATCATTAAGTTGAACTTGAAGACGGAGAAGATACTTTCACTGAAGGAATAAAACTCGTGACAAGGATTATAGGGTTAGGTGTGTTTATTGAGAGCACCAACTTAAATCACTTGACAGAGACAGAGACAGTGAACGGAGAAAGTGGAAAGTACATGTATAAAGAAGTGAGGACTGAGGGGGAGAGGGGCTCATTAAATACAGGAATGGAACATAATGGATTGTGTGTAACTGTAAGTGAATTAAACCAAGGACGGTAAATACTAGGAATCTAGGATGTGGTTTTACAGGTCTACGACCGAGCCCAGTGTGACCACACTAATGGAGACAGGGTGTCTCTGTGGACCACAAAGTAATTTGAAATAATCTTAAAGATGTCAACGGGTAATAAGTAAGGCTACTGTAATTAAAGTTAATTGGGATACTAAATCTGGGCTTACACTAGCTCAGCGGGCCGGGAGACTTGATACTCGGGTGAACTGCAGGTTATTCCACACCATTTACATTCAGTGCAAAAGTCTTACGTGTTTTGTGCACTGTGAAATAAGATATTCGATTTTGTACATGTACTCACCTTCAGAAGTCCGTTCTGGTTGAAACAAAAACTTGCACTTGGTTCTATTGTCAAACAGCTTCGCGTGTCTTCGTACCGATGAATGTGCCGAGCTGACGGCGGAACGGAGTTTCTTTTGTCCGCCGGTAATGTTATTGGACTTCAAGTGTCAATCACTTACACTTTCAGGGGGCGGGGCCTCGCTGCCAGCCAAGACGTAATGGTCTAAGATTAGCGAGAGCCAAGGGACAATCCCGAGTTCAAGACCGAGCGGTTGATTCTGATTAACGGAACAATATCCGCATTGCGTCTGAATGGGAGATTATCGGGGATCCGGCTTTGTTGTATTGTGTTGAGTGGAGTCCATTATCTAAAGTTAATATTGACAAAAACATACGAAAGCCCGTTAGTGCCAACCTTTTTTATTTTTTGGAAAAATTTTTTTTCGGAATTTTTTTTTTGAATGTTTTTTTTTGGGGGGGGGGAATGTTGTTTTGGTTTTTTTTTTTTAATTTTTCTTCTTTTTTTTTTTGAATTTTTTTTTATCTACCTGCCGTCAGCGGCGCCCTTCCCTCGAGTAGTGTGGTTCCCAGACCAAAAGATTCTGATTATTCCTGATGAATCTATAAATAGGTAAATAGGCCTAAATCCGTCCGCCGAGCTCATGAATAAAAGTTATACCCTCAAAATATTCTATATTAGAGAGTTCTGAATAAATTGGGGAATTGAACAGTTATGGTAATGAACCTCTGGCCCGGACTTGGGGCTTCCAATTCTGAGCATTTTGGATGCTATTGGGCTCGAAAGTGACGCTATTTTGCCATGTTGTGGAGGCATCGTTTTTCAAGATGGCTACTTTTTCGCTTTGGCTAAAACAGGGGTCGTCTTCTTTGGGTGAGAATATCTCGAAAAGTCAATGGTCAACCCACCAAAAAATGAAAGAAAAGGAAAGATGACATGTTGATCATCATTTTTCTGTGCAGCTTGAATACCTGTGAGAGTTCCGAGTATTTTTAAAAGAATTTTGAAGTATGGGCATTAAGCAGTAGTGTCTATGGGAATTTACTTGCAGGGTTGCATCCCTAAGATTCTAACTACTCAGGGAAAGGGCGCCGCTACGGAAGCGTAGAAGGGCCAAAAGAAAATAAGAAAAGTTAGTTCCTATCTCGCCGCGGCGAATTACTATCTCGCCGCGGCAAATTATTATCTCGCCGTGGCAAATTACTATCTCGCCGCGGCGGGTTACTATCTCGCCGCGGCGAAATACTATCTTGCCGCGGCGAGTTACTATTTCGCCGCGGCGAGTCACTATTTCGCCGCGGCGAGTTACTATCTCGCTCAATGACTTACTATCTCAGAGCCGCGGTGACTTACTATTTTGCATCGGCGAGCGTCAGGGCACGACGAATAGCGATACTCCTTGGGTCCTATGGAACGCCGAAGAGGCATTTAATGTGATCAACGAATCGGCGATGCACTTTATCGATAGGCAGTGGGGTTTTGCAATCGATGATGGACTGTCACAATCGGTGATGGATTTTTGCGAATGGTGATGGATTTTTGCGATCTTTGATCAACATTGGCAAAACTAACACCCTAATCACCCATACAGGGCTGGATTCTATAATAACTCCCCTAGTACGTCCGATAAATGAAATAATCTATGTAACAATGCCCGCGTATCAAACCTTCGTTTCGTAAACGTGTTAAATAAAAAAAAATAAAACCTTTCCCAAAAAAATAAAAAACTTCCCCCCCAAAAAAACTTTCCAAAAAATAAAAAAAAGTCCCCCCCCAAAAAACACTTTGTAAAAAAAATAAATAAATGTTGGCACTGATGGGCTTTCGTACAAACACATGTCAAACACCTTATCTTTAAGTTCCGTGATTAAACCGGTGGTATGGGACGGCACGTGCACCGCGTGCACGATTCGCCCTGCAGTGATTTGTGCTTCTGCTTAGTTCTGCGCATGAGTTGTGAAATTCAAGTACACTCATGAGACACCAGCGGTGGCGATTTCTTGGCTACATTGGGGGGGGGGGGGGGGGGGGGGGGGGGAGGGGGGATACTATTCAGAGGAGGGCGCTATACAAAGATGTATAGGAATGCTAAACAGAATCCGCGACTGTGTTCCCCAACCAGTGGCGTCACCAGACTTTTCAGTCTGGGGGGGGGGGGGGGGGGGGGGGGCACAGGGGGGGGGCACCAGCATTTGATGGGGGGGGGGCACTTAGGTGGATACGGATCGCGTCCTGGGGGAGGGGTCTAAGGGGTGCCCCCCTCCCCTTTAGAAAATTTTCGCATACGGAGGATGGGCTAGATGTGCAAAATGGTGCCACATTTGATGCTACATTCGATCTGAAGATATCTCAAAAAATTGCTATTTTTGAGGTAATGATTTTAACAACGCGCAGAATTTTGCAGAGGATAGGGGGCACCAGCATTTGATGGGGGGGGGGCACTCGGGGGGGGGGCACTAGGTTTTCCAGGGGGGGCACGTGGCCCCCCCCCCCCCCCCCCCCCCCCCCCCCCCCCCCCCCCTTGGCGACGCCACTGTCCCCGACGCCGCCTGCACTCTCTCTGTCTCTTTTTTTTTAGCTTATATAGAAATATGCCATCTTTATATTTTTTTTAAGGGGGGGGGGGAATGGGGGATGATCAAGATCCAAAATTGCCCGGCCTTGGAAATTCGAAGGGGGGGGGGGGGGGGCTGGACACTGAGATGCAACCCTTCGGTGGCAACCCTTCCACCCCAAAATGGGAATTATCCGGCTTCACATACAAATCATCGGTTTTATAATGCATGAAATACAATACTTTGCCTTGATTAAATAATGGGCGTCAATCCCCCACACTTTTTAAAGTGCGGGATATCATATCGTGTCTCCCACACACTTTATTCGTCGCCGAATTAAAATCGTAGCATAATATTCTATAGCTCAGAAAGTAGCTGATTATACTCAAAACTCGAAAATGATGTTTCAATGAAAATCTTTTGCTAAAACAAAATTGGTTAAAGTGGTCAGAAATTGCCTCAGATTGCGCAACAGAGCGTCTAGAATCAATTGCCGGGCCCTTAAGCGGGACCCGACGGAACCCCACGCCGTTAGGGCTTTTACACTTGGCGCTCGAGTTCTGATAAAGGTAGGCCTCCCCCTCCCCCACTTTTGAGAAGCGATTGACGCGCTTGATTAAAATACTTTTATAATTATGCCATTTTTTTTTGCAAATGTTACACTAATGGTTTTATACGGCACCGTTATGTGTCAGGGATAGGGATTGGCCGGCAGAAAGATGTCGAGTTGTTAAAAAAATTAGAGAGCTTAGGCCCTACCACCATCGATAAACGTCACATGCTAAACCAGAAGGCTGACAAAAATTATTTGACAGACGGGTTCCCACGAACCACAGGTCAAGGTACTTGTTCTCAGCCATGGCGTAATGGTTCGACCAAAAAACGAGATATGTGGCCGATAATGTACCCGGATACCTGATACCGCAGAGTTTTTGACTGTTTGGATTGGCATGGAGGTAACAATGAATTGGGTAATGGGGTAGGTTAGGGAATTTCCCATCAACGGCCCGATTTTTTTTCTTAGCGCCGGTGTTGGCGTTTCTGGGCCGCCCCCTCATCAGCTGCCCAGTGACAATTCTTTGACATTTTTTTGCACATACAGGGGACATTCATTCTTAACCCACCTGCAAAGTTTGAAGCTATGTCCTTCGCAAGTTCACATGCACTATCGATAATGGCAAACTTAAACTTTGCGCTACCTTAATACGTTCGAAACTGTGACACTTTTCGAGAATGGCACTGGTGACTTTAAAAAAAAACAGTGTTTAAAACGAAACGATCAAGGCCCAGCGGGCGGTATTGATAAGATCACCAGTGCTGGATTCTGGCCTTTTTAAGTGTTAGACGGTAAGAGTTCAGCTCACTAACTTGAAAAGTCATTTCGAAAACTGGAAATTTCAAGACACTTCGATTCGAAACTCGAACGTCAACTAAAAACTCGAAAAGTCATTTCGAATAGTCAAGTTGGAACGACAAGTTAATAATTCAAAAAGACATGAAACTCAAAGAGACGAGATCCCCACTGATCCACATCGCTGTTAGAAAAGGACAAATTTGTTGGATTGACTCAGAATTAAAAACAACGTGTACTATTAGGAGAGGACCCTCAATATTTCACGCGCTGCCGATTTTAAATAAACTCCGCAAAAAACTTTTAACACAAATAAACAAACGTAAATAGGTAAATGTGAAGGGTGAACATATACCACATAACGGTTCTAGTCGGGAAACCCAGCTTCTATAGACATTTGACACTGTGATTTACCACATTGAGCGTGAGTTTCCAGTGCAGCATTTAATTGGGTTTTTTTTTCGTGGCAGTTTGCTTGGTGCGGACACGTCCAGGAATTCACACGGATTATGAAGACCGTGATTTGCAATGCAATTCTTGTTTTATCTTGAGCTATAGAAATTGCGAATCAGACACAAATCTCAATCGGAAACTTGTGTTTGCTACGCACATTAAATTTTTCGATTCTGTAGTTGGACATGTTTGTGCTCCGCGAAAATGATGAAAGAGTCTCCCGAAATGTGCCGGGGAAAAAATGGGTTAAAGGGGCAAGATCCCGGATGCTCTCAAGAAACAAAAAACAAACAGCCAAGCTGTTGCTGACGAGGTAAGGGACCCAAGAGGGAACGCGGGCAGAGAGCAGAGTGCCTACGTGGCACGCGTGAACATCGTGACAACTATCTTTTCACCGTCTTGGGATTAGCTTTATAATCTGCAAGGCTGGCGAACATGGGCGCTATTTATTGAGCAATGTTATACCTCGCAGTCTTCACGCTACGTTGACCCGTAACTTTCTTCACCTTGAAGAAAGACGACTTCCCTGTTTCAAGGAATTGGCAGGAGGGGGGGGGGGGGGATTATATAACTACAGTCGAGACACGCTGGGAGCAGGGGTGCTAGTGTTGGGGCAGCCCCATTCCCTGGATGGTATAGCGTGCAGGAATGTGGTCAACAGGGGGGACCAACAAATCAAGTTGCCAGGGAGGGGGTTTGGGAGAGAATGGAAGTACGTGGGGAACATCATGATGCTCTATGATGAGACAACCATATTCAGCCGTAGTCCGTGGAAGGGGGGGGGGGCAGGGCCCGATTCCGTAGGCTGTACTCCCGCCCGGCCATAGGCACCAGCACCTGTTTGTTTCATAGCGCTGGAGCATTTCATCCTGATGCTAAGCAAGCCAGGCTAAACTGGTGGCTCCATAAAAGCCTGTTGGGCCCGTGTGCTTCAGAACGAAATACTTTACATGTACATGCATGCAGCTATATGGGCGTCACA